AGCGCCTGTGACAGTCGTGCGAGTAAAAATCGCGTAGGAGCGCGAGTGATTTTTTCGCTGAATTCTGCAGGAGTGCGAGTGTTTTTTGCACTTATTTTTGAGGAAGAATTTTGTGATGGGAGAGGGCGTGGTTCTTGCAGCCTCTGCGGGGGAGCAGGCACAGCCTCTTTTTGGCGTGAGCCTCTTTTGTGCGGGAGTCACGCCTCTGCGGGGGGCACGTCGTGTGTGTTGGGGTCGTGTGTGTTGGGGTCGTGTGTGTTGGTGTTTTGTGTGAGGGGGTTTTGTGTGTTGGGGATGGCGTTAGTTCGTTCTTTGCTAATTTGCTCCTAGGGTTGGGCGTGGGCTTGCGGGTCACTTGCTCGGTGTGTCGCGGGCCGGCGGTCCACTGGCTGGGCATGTCGGGGGCCGGCGGTCCACTGGCTGGGCGTGTCGTGGGTCGGCGGTCCACTGGCTGGGCGTGCCGCGGGCCGGCGGTCCACTGGCTGGGCGTGCCGCGGGCCGGCGGTCCACTGGCTCGGGCTGTCGCGGGCCGGCGGGCCACCCAGACCCCGCTTTGGCGGGGTCGTCAAGAATGGAAACTCCGGCCAGGTGGGCCTTGCATCTCAATATACTAAAATCCTACTATGCAAATTAGCTTCGAAACAACGAAGGCACTCTCATGGTTATCATGATCTTTTGGCGATACGTTCTGATGACGTAGCGATTTGCATTGTTGCAGGGACAGTTTTTTTCCCGGTAACTGAAAAATTCCCTTTTATGGGGGATCGATTGATAAATGACCGTGCAATTTGTGTCAGAACAGTCTCAACTGGATAAAAGCATGATAAATTGTCGCAAAGATCATTTTCCAGCCAGGTGCATTTTAGAGCACACGGTTGGAAAGAAAGGTTTGGAAAAAGAAGTCGACATGTTTCTCACAACGGACCCTTGATTTTGGACGCAATTTTCAGTGTGAGTATTGTTTATTCTTTTCGCTTATGTTTCTGCACCTTGCCTTGCCATTTTTCTAACAAAACGCCCTGCCCCTGCCGCGAAATATTTAATAGTCGCCCCTTTATTGAATACTATGTTTCTGTTGCTCTTTTATTAGCTACAACATTGAATTTACCGTCTGTTCTTCTGCTCTTTTTGCAGGACAGTGTCGAGAACACGATTTGAATACCTTTCCCAAATTGAATATTCATCAGGTTAGTGCGTTTGTTTTCGGGGTTATTTTCATCCCTTTTCGTTTATCTACGTTTCAAAATAGAGGTATTTTATATTTTATTATTTATCAATTTGTGCAACGAATTCTCAGCGAATTGTGACGCCTAGATTCAGGAAATTCAAACTTTATAGGACAGTTTTGCCTGACGAGTTGCGAACGACGATCAAGCTACGCCCCCTTTGTGATGTGACCCCATTGTCTGCAAGGTCGTTATTGGGGAAACTTTTCGTGAGTGCGGATCGTTAACGATCATTAGTGACGCACCGATTAGGAACCTTGATCTTCGATGTCGACATTTGATTTTGGTAAACTTGCTGCGTCACAGTTTTCATATCGGTTATTCTTGGATTTTTTGCAGGACATTCCCGTGGCAGATTGACCAAAGTATTGTAAAAGATATTCTCATCCAGCTTCATCACACGGTAAGCGATTTTTGATATCAAAGATCTCTTCGTGTTTTACTTCGTTTATACTCAAATTTTTTTCGCCGTTTTTTAGATAAATATGCTGAATTAATTCTAAACGAAATGCCAAGTGTTCATTTAAGAAAATTAAATTTTTCAATAAAGTTTTTCATGTGTTGCGAAAGCCGGTGAAGTTACGTCCCCCTAATCCCTTCGCGATTGATTGATTGCATTCGCGATTTTGTTTTCGGGGTTATTTTCAGGCCCTTTTGTTTATCTACGTTTCAAGATAGAGGTATTTTATTATTTATCAATTTGTGCAACGAATTCTCAGCGAATTGTGACGCCTAGATTCAGGAAATTCAAACTTTATAGGACAGTTTTGCCTGACGAGTTGCGAACGACGATCAAGCTACGCCCCCTTTGTGATGTGACCCCATTGTCTGCAAGGTCGTTATTGGGGAAACTTTTAGTGAGTGCGGGTCGTTAACGATCATTAGTGACGCATCGATTAGGAACCTTGATCTTCGATGTCGACATTTGATTTTGGTAAACTTGCTGCGTCACAGTTTTCATTTCGGTTATTCTTGGATTTTTTGCAGGACATTCCCGTGGCAGATTGACCAAAGTATTGTAAACATATTCTCACCCAGCTTCATCACACGGTAAGCGATTTTTGATATAGAAGATCTCTTGGTGTTTTACTTTGTTTATACTCAAATTTTGTTTCGCGTTTCTTTATATAAATACGTTGAATGAATTCTTAACGAAAAGCCAAGTGTTTATTTAGAAGCCAAGTGTTTATTTAGAAAAATTAAATTATTCAATGCAGTTTTTCGTCTGTTGCGAATGCCGGTGAAGTTACGCCTCCTCCTAACCCTCGCGATTGATTGATTGCTTTCGCGATATTTTCTACAAATTTTTGCTGCCCCTTTTTGTTTAAATATTCATGCTACACCCTTAGTGACAAGATTTAGTAGAGTTTTTGTAAACTTCATGTTGCCCTCATCGTGGTATAGAAATTTAATAACTTTTTCAATACATTTTTCCGTCTATTGCAAATGCCGGTGAAGTTACGCCTCCCCTAACCCCTCACAGTTGATTGATTGCTTTTGCGATATTTTCATGGATTGGAAGCTGCCCCTTTTTGTCAAAATAATCATTCTGCTCCTTTTTTGTACGTGTTTTTCTACCACTTTTAGACCAATTTTACAACTGCTAAGCAATTTTTCCAGCCATTTCCATTTCGACATGCATACAAGCTTTAATGAATTGTTTCTACACGTACACTGGCGCTGAAATTTAATAACCATTATTCCTCTTTTTTTCAGGGCATTTGCGAGACGTTTTGAGACGACGATTTGAATGAAAGACATTTCTTCTTTGGCCTTTGTTTCGTTATAATTTGATTGATTTAGAGGATCTTTGTATGTTTATTATAAAGTTGAAGGATAATTCAAGATTTTGCATCCTGCTCTCAAATAGTTTCAGCGATTGATAGGACCCCTATTTCATAGATTTTCATACCCTACTTCCAATTGGTTTTTTTACGAGGATGTTTATGAAACACACGGTTCTCTCATTGTACTTTCACAGAGTTTGCCCCCTATGCGTTATAAACATCTATTAGATTTTGCTTTAAATGTGCTATTTAACTTTGGAGGATCCTCAACTCTAGCCATTTATTGTTACCAATCTTGCAATTGGTTTTTTACGAGGATGTTGGTGAAATACACGCCTCCCTCATTGTGATATATTTGAGGGTTTGCCTCATATATTTTGAAAACATCAGATTTTAGATTTTGCTTTAGTTATGGATTTTGTTTTGAAAATTCTCCACTCTAGGGTTGGCTCACCAATAGTAACTATTAATTGTTGTTGTTTTCAAAATTAGCAAACATTTTGAAAATTATTATGATGATGAAGTAAATATTTGTTTTTCTGCTAGAAATCTGCCATTGAACACAAGTTAGGATAGTCGATAATCAGTCAAGTTTTATAGCATGATAAAAAGTCCTCAAAAATGAAACATTAGTGGAAGTGCTCAAAAATGAAACATTTGTGGAACTATATATATTCTCTTTCGGCAATATTTTAGACACAGGTATTAAGTAAAATTCATATAAAGATTAATTTATTTTCAAATTTGGTCGAGGGTGAAGAGGAAATAGATAAATGACTTTGCTGGATGCCTCTTCGTGAAAATATCGAAATTTGAGCTTCTCCATATAAAATGGAGGTCGGGGGCAACCAAAAAACAAGTCTATTGCTTTACCAAATTTGAAGGCCTCATCCATTGGTATTAAAATGTCAAAACGAGGCGGAAACGCCCGAGCTGATATTAACACACCACCTAGCAACAATGAAATCACGTGATTTGAATCAGAAAGGAAGATTCTGTTAAAAGTAGCTAGATATATGTGAACTGTACCAAAAATAGCGTTAACATGATTTTCATCTCGAAAAATCATCTTACCTATAGACAATTAATTGACAAGGTCTTAGTAGTACATTTAAGACGAATGGATGATAGACCTACTTATAATGCGTACAGTAACAAGGTTCCCACATTAAACGCAATAATTAGGCTAGGCTGACCAGCGTCGCAATTCAAGATGCCTGGGTATTGTCAGAAATTGTAGTATGAAAGAACCATTTCCACAACATCAAACCTACTGTGCACGTGAAGAACGTTGAAGCTACCAATAAACATCGTTTAATTGCCTAAAAATAAACTACAGAATGTTTGGAGCACACGGAAACAGCAAAGTCACACCTTTGATAATCTACTGAGTTATTGATTTAGACTTTAACTGCTCTCTCGCGCTTTTCCTTCACCAATTTAGCAACCACCTTTTTTCTAATAACAAATTATGTAAAAAATCCTTCCCTAATAATGCAATTTTTCAATAATGTCCTTTCGCCTCACAATACATATATACTGCTGTCTTCTGAGACCCATTTCAAGTTTCTCTCAAAATGGCAAACGAGCAGGCCCCAATGGTGACTGCTCAATCTCATTCGATTTAGTCCATGTTCCATAAAAAATATGTCATAAGTTCCCACACTTTATCTAAATAGACTACAATCCACTGAAAAGTTTCTACTGAATGTTATTGTAAATAGACTACAATCCTCCATAAAGTGTTTACTTAATGCTATTGATATTTATTATTATGGAATGGAAGTAAACTAGCCTTTCTTGGCGACCCCGCCAAAGCGGGGTCTTGCAAGGCCCACCTGGCCTGAGTTTCCATTCTTGACGACCCCGCCAAAGCGGGGTCTGGGTGGCCCGCCGGCCCGCGACAGCCCGAGCCAGTGGACCGCCGGCCCGCGGCACGCCCAGCCAGTGGACCGCCGGCCCGCGGCACGCCCAGCCAGTGGACCGCCGACCCGCGACACGCCCAGCCAGTGGACCGCCGGCCCCCGACATGCCCAGCCAGTGGACCGCCGGCCCGCGGCACACCGAGCAAGTGACCCGCAAGCCCCCGCCCAACCCTAGGTGCAAATTAGCAAAGAACGAACTAACGCCATCCCCAACACACAAAACCCCCTCACACAAAACCCCAACACACACGACCCCAACACACACGACCCCAACACACACGACGTGCCCCCCGCAGAGGCGTGGCTCCCGCACAAAAGAGGCTCACGCCAAAGAGGCTGTGCCTGCTCTCCCGCAGAGCCTGCGACAACCACGCCCTCTCCCATCACAAAATTCTTCCTCAAAAAAAAGTGCAAAAAACACTCGCACTCCTGCAGAATTCAGCGAAAAAATCACTCGCGCTCCTACGCGATTTTTACTCGCACGACTGTCACAGGCGCTAGAGGGCGGGGAGGAGAGGGGAAAAAAAAGGTCCCCGCCCTCTAGCGCCTGTGACAGGAGTGCGAGTAAAAATCGCGTAGGAGCGCGAGTGATTTTTTCGCTGAATTCTGCAGGAGTGCGAGTGTTTTTTGCACTTATTTTTGAGGAAGAATTTTGTGATGGGAGAGGGCGTGGTTCTTGCAGCCTCTGCGGGGGAGCAGGCACAGCCTCTTTTTGGCGTGAGCCTCTTTTGTGCGGGAGTCACGCCTCTGCGGGGGGCACGTCGTGTGTGTTGGGGTCGTGTGTGTTGGGGTCGTGTGTGTTGGTGTTTTGTGTGAGGGGGTTTTGTGTGTTGGGGATGGCGTTAGTTCGTTCTTTGCTAATTTGCTCCTAGGGTTGGGCGTGGGCTTGCGGGTCACTTGCTCGGTGTGTCGCGGGCCGGCGGTCCACTGGCTGGGCATGTCGGGGGCCGGCGGTCCACTGGCTGGGCGTGTCGTGGGTCGGCGGTCCACTGGCTGGGCGTGCCGCGGGCCGGCGGTCCACTGGCTGGGCGTGCCGCGGGCCGGCGGTCCACTGGCTCGGGCTGTCGCGGGCCGTCTCAATATACTAAAATCCTACTATGCAAATTAGCTTCGAAACAACGAATGTGCTACTATGCAAATGAGGGGCAAGCACGTCTGCACACGGTCTGACCCACTCGACGCCTATTCGAACGAGATCGGTTTCGAGGCCTCCTCGAAACGTCCCGCTTTTTCCTCCGTTCGATCCCGTCCGTCGACGTGAATCTGCAGCTGGCCTTCGATTTTCGATTCGGTCCCGTCTTCCTGCCTGAAAATCCTCGAAACAAACTTTTTTTGGGCGGAAGTTGCTTTGCTTGCGGACCTGATTGCCTCTCCGGAGAAAAGGTTACGTCGGGTCGTTAAGCGTGTTAGGCTTTGTCAGCGAGGTCGTTAACCGCCACCTCTTTGTGCGGAGAAGCAATTATCTCCGCAGAGTTACTCTGCCAAGGCTCTGCTAATCACCATCGATTTTTTTGGCACCAAAAACGGTGCTGCGTCACAGCTCGGTTCTCCCTTCTGGATGCGAGTTTCGATTCGAATTTTTGGGAATCAAAACCGGTCGAATGCGACACCTTTCTCCCAAAAACTCAGCATCGTACGAGCAAAAGTTATGATTGTCATGATTTTGCCCTGTACTGTAATGTACAGTACAGCAGTGTACGAATCCTTTGTGTTAGGACTCTGGCTCGACCGTGATTGGTCCAAAGTTTGATCGTTATAAGTACTAAGAATGCGATCTCATTGTTTAAACTAGACGCTCATGCTTATCATGTTCGAATTTAGCTGTACCACTACTTTCTACATTACGTGTCCGTTCTCTTTGCCATCTTTGTTTACTTGGTGAAATCGAAAAAATAAATGTCAAACCCTCGAAAAACTTCTTCCTGATTTTTTATAAGGGGCGTTGGATTTAAATGAAAATCACACAGAAAAGAAAAATTAAGCTAACCAAATCCTGTCCGAGTGGGGGTACGGGCCCCGCCATCCCGCCATCCCCCATCATTGTAACAAAGAATTGAAAGCTCAATAAAATCAACAAGAATTTCCTATCCACATGCACTTCACTGAGCATTCCAAACATACGATTGAAGTTAACACGGACGTCAAAATGCCGAAATTTTCGAAAATGAAACTTTACAAGAAAGTTTGTTTTGGTTGCGGACGATTCAGGATGTTTCCCTTCCTAATCAAACTAAAGCATTGATGCGAGATCATTAAGTGGCAACCTGATTGTCAGTGCGGATCGTTAGCGATCATTAACCTTTCCTTCTGCAAAGCTCCGCGGTGAAAAACCAACTTTTTCGATTTGCTAAACTTGCTGCGTCATAGCTTGCCCCGCCGTTGTTTTACGCAGTATAAGTCGGTTGACAGCATTTTTATGATGGAAAAAACTTTCTCAGTCGTTTCGAAAACAAATTGGAAGCTTATCTTTACAATTTCATTTTGTTTGATTGCGAAGGATGCAGAACCTTTCCCTTCTTGATCAAACTATACAATTGAGGCGCGATCATTAAGCGTCAACCTGATTGTCACTGCGGGACGTTAGCGATACTTAGGTACCCATTAACCGTTCTTTCTTGAAAGAACCACGGCGGAAAGACAACTTTTCTGATTTGCTAAACTTGCTGCGTCATAGCTTGCCCCGGCGTTGTTTTAGGCATAACAAATGACTAGACTTCATTTTCATGAAGCAAAAATTGCCTTTAGTCATTTCGAAAACAAACTGAAAGCTTATCTTTAAAAATATTGCAAGAAAACCTTGCTGCGTCACAGCTCGGTTCTCCCTTCTGGATGGAAGTTTTGATTCGAGGTTTTTTTGGAATCGAAACAGCTCGCTTGCGACACCTTTCTCCCAAAAGCTCGAGACCGTACGAGCAAAAGTTATGATTGTCATGATTATCTCATCATTGTTGCTTAAACTAGGCACTCACATGGTTATCATGGTCTTTTGGCGATACGTTCCGATGACGTAGCGATTTGCATTGTTGCAGGGACAGTTTTTTTCCCGGTAACTGAAAAATTCCCTTTTATGGGGGATCGATTGATAAATGACCGTGCAATTTGTGTCAAAACAGTCTCAACAGGACAAAACCATGATGAATTGTCGCGAAGATCATTTTCCAGCCAGGTGCATTTTAGAGCACACGGTTGGAAAGAAAGGTTTGGAAAAAGAAGTCGACATGTTTCTCACAATGGACCCTTGATTTTGGACGCAGTTTTCACTGTGAGTATTGTTTATTCTTTTCGCTCATGTTTCTGTACCTTGCCCTGCCATTTTTCTAACAAAACGCCCTGCCCCTACCGCGAAATATTTAATAGTCGCCCCTTTATTGAATACTATGTTTCTGTTGCTCTTTTATAAGCTACAACATTGAATTTACCGTCTGTTCTTCTGCTGTTTTTGCAGGACAGTGTCGAGAACACGATTTGAATACCTTTCCTAAATTGAATATTCATCAGGTTAGTGCGTTTGTTTTCGGGGTTATTTTCATCCCTTTTCGTTTATCTACGTTTCAATATAGAGGTATTTTATATTTTATTATTTATCAATTTGTGCAACGAATTCTCAGCGAATTGTAACGCCTAGATTCAGGAAATTCAAACTTTATAGGACAGTTTTGCCTGACGAGTTGCGAACGACGATCAAGCTACGCCCCCTTTGTGATGTGACCCCATTGTCTGCAAGGTCGTTATTGGGGAAACTTTTTGTGACTGCGGATCGTTAACGATCATTAGTGACGCATCGATTAGGAACCTTGATCTTCGATGTCGACATTTGATTTTGGTAAACTTGCTGCGTCACAGTTTTCATTTCGGTTATTCTTGGATTTTTTGCAGGACATTCCCGTGGCAGATTGACCAAAGTATTGTAAAAGATATTCTCATCCAGCTTCATCACACGGTAAGCGATTTTTGATATCAAAGATCTCTTCGTGTTTTACTTCGTTTATACTCAAATTTTGTTTGCCGTTTTTTAGATAAATATGCTGAATGAATTCTAAACGAAATGCCAAGTGTTCATTTAAGAAAATTAAATTTTTCAATAAAGTTTTTGATGTGTTGCGAAAGCCGGTGAAGTTACGCCTCCTCCTATCCCTCGCGATTGATTGATTGCTTTCGCGATATTTTCTACGAATTTTTGCTGCCCCTTTTTGTTTAAACATTCATGCTACACCCTTAGTGACAAGATTTAGTAGAGTTTTTGTAAACTTCATGTTGCCCTCATCGTGGTATAGAAATTTAATAACTTTTTCAATACATTTTTCCATCTATTGCAAATGCCGGTGAAGTTACGCCTCCACTAACCCCTCACAGCTGATTGATTGCTTTTGCGATATTTTCATGGATTGGAAGCTGCCCCTTTTTGTCAAAATAATCATTCTGCTCCTTTTTTGTACGTGTTTTTATACCACTTTTAGACCAATTTTACAACTGCTAAGCAATTTTTCCAGCCATTTCCATTTCGACATGGAAACATGCTTTAATGAATTGTTTCTACGCGTACACTAGCGCTGAAATTTAATAACCATTATTCCTCTTTTTTTCAGGGCATTCGCGAGACGTTTTGAGACGACGATTTGAATGAAAGACATTTCTTCTTTGGCCTTTGTTTCGTTATAATTTGATTGATTTAGAGGATCTTTGTATGTTTATTATAAAGTTGAAGGATAATTCAAGATTTTGCATCCTGCTCTCAAATAGTTTCAGCGATTGATAGGACCCCTATTTCATAGATTTTCATACCCTACTTCCAATTGGTTTTTTTACGAGGATGTTTATGAAACACACGGTTCCCTCATTGTACTTTTACAGAGTTTGCCCCCTATGCGTTATAAACATCTATTAGATTTTGCTTTAAATGTGCTATTTAACTTTGGAGGATCCTCAACTCTAGCCATTTATTGTTACCAATCTTGCATTTGGTTTTTTACGAGGATGTTGGTGAAATA